GGTGCCTTGTTCAGCGTGCTGGCTCGCGTCCCCCTCGTAAACCGGCGTGTGTTCCATGCCGACAGAAACCGGTTGTCACTGCCGTTTTGTTCCTCTTGTAACCCTGCTCTTTCTGGGCCCAAGGCCTGTTGCCAAAACAACACCAAAGTCGCCGAGCTTTCTGTGCCGCCAATCCACCAGCTGTCACGGGCTGGAAGGCAAGGCCGGGGATTTCATGCTGCAAGTTTTTTATCCCAAGCTCTTAACGAGCTGTACTGGAAAACCCAGCGCTGCTTCAGACCTACCGAGAAAAGAACCAGGGGCGTAAAGGGGAACCAGGTTGGTTTAGGAGCCTACGAGTTGAAGGCGCCTTGGTTTATTTTCATCACAGGCTGTGTTTGAAGGTTTCTTTTCTCTGCTTGCTGAGGGATGTTTTCATTCCTGTTTTTAGACGTTCCCAAGCCTGGAGCGGCGAGCTCAGCCCGGTTTTGCCTTTGTTCAGAGCAGCTGAAGGCTTAGCTTGGGGTGTGTCCGCACTGCAGGTGCCAGGGTGCTGGAGGCCGTGGGAGGAATGCCGTCCGGTCGCCGTTCCTCGGGCAGGGAAATGGGCAGTGCCTGAAAGGAGAGGCCAGGCCCTGGTGAACTTTCTCTCACGTCAGAGTTCACAAGTGACTGCAATGTAATCTAGGCCCGGCCATGTAAATTGCTTCCTTCTGCCTCCGCTGTCCAATCTGGGAAGGGGCTAGGACGAACAGCCCCGGTCATCCCACTCCCTGTGTGGGGCAGTAACAGCGCCCTGGCCGAACCTGGTTTGCGAACGGCGGCGGGGGGGGGTGTCTATACAGTCATGACTGGGGTGGAGAAGGTGACGAGAGAAGTGTTATTTAGCCCCACACAACGCACAAACCAGGGGTCACCCACCGAAGGAATGGGCAGCAGGGTCCATAGAAATAAGAGGAGGAGGGATTTTGTTCTACCCTTAGCTGGATGTCCATGATAAGCACACAGCTAACCTGCGGAACTCCTTGCCAGGGGATGTTGCGAAGGCCAAAAGTGTAAGTGGGTGCAAAAGAGAACAGTTCTCAGGCCTGCTGCCCGTACGCGGCGTGGTCTGCTGGCTGCCCTGCCTGCACGGGGAGGCCAATCTGTCCGAAGTCGCCGCAGGCTCTGGTGTGGCTAGAGCAGGCGCTTGTCATAGAGGGGCAGAACTGGGTGTTGGGGGGGTACTTCTGTCAGTGGGGTCAGGGACACGCAGCGTCCCTAGCTGTCATCATCATTGCTTTGCTGGAGCTGCCGTGAAATTGACGAGACAGGCTGGTCGGCTCCCTGCTGTGAACCCCAGACAGCTGGGGCTGTCGCCCTGGGGTGGGTGGGGGGCTCCCCGCCCTGGCTCTCAGCCCCCCACACTGCCCCTCTTCTGTCAGTGCTAGTGCTCCTGGTGAGGACACGCACCCCTGACAGAAGGAGGGCAGCGTGGACACTAAAAACCTCTGTAAATCGAGCTAAATTTGTAGTGTAGACGTGCCCCATGACTCGGGAAGTGGCACTGCCCTATGGTTACCACCGGCTGACATCTGTCCGCAATCTCCTGTGGCGGACGGGCCACCACTGAAATGCAGCCACCTCTGGGGTGAGGCGGGAGCCCCTGGGCGCTTTCAGACCCGCTCCCACATGGGGAAACCCATGGATCCAGCTTGGCCGGGTGACTGCAGATCTGGCCAACTGTCTGGGTTTCGGTGCTGCCGTGGAGACCGCTAACCCCTGTGGTTAACGCGCGTGCCCCCGGTAACCAGTGTGGGGGTCACCCGCCCTCCTGTCTCGCCCTGAGCCCGCAGTTAGCTCGGTGGAAGCCCTGAGGCACGAGGGCTATGTCTGCCTTAGCTACGTCTCTCCCCACCGACGCTCTAATGTGTTGATCCTCCTGGGAGGCAGGGAGGGCCTATGATCCCCATTGTACAGATGGGGAAACCGAGGCACGGAAAAGCAGCTGACTCGCCCAGGGTCACCCAGGGAGTCTGCTGGAGCAAGGGGATTCCTACATTGGTGACTCAGGCTAACACCCTCACTTAGCGACATACATCGGGGGACACTGAGGCACAAAGGGGCGTGACTTCCCTAAGGCTACAACGTTCTCCCTGACATCCCCTTGCTGTCCCCCGAATTGCAGGGGGATCCCATGTAGGGCATGGCCGGCTCCCAGATGGGCGTGTTGCCAGCTGGAAGCTACCAGCCCCTGCCCTCGGCTGCGTTTTGGGGGGGCCCTGCCAGGACAGCCTCAGTCCCGGCTGCAACCCAGACCGCCTCCACTGCTCAGCAGCGTGTGAGTCAATTGTCTGCTGCCTCCGGCTTTTCCTTCAGCTGAGCTGTGAGCAAACCCGGCTCCAGATCACGTGCCCAGAGCGCTGGGTGAGGGGCTGGGCTGTGATCTCCCCCTGCGGGCTGGGCCTAGCGTGCCTGGGCGAGGCGGCCTCTAGGAGCGAGATAAGGCTCCAGCGTGCTCCATCCTCTGTCTCTGCTGTGACTGGAGAGCTAGACCCCGAACCCCCACCGTGGGGCACGAAATAGCATCTCCCCTGTGCTACTGCTCAGTCCTCAGGACTGGCTCTGGTTCCGTCTGGCCACGGGGCTGGCACCTGTTCCTGTGGGAGCCAAGAGCCCCACCCCCAGCGAAGCACCCCCCCCCTCAGAGAGGGGACGTATCCATTTACAGATGGGGGAAACAGAGTCACGGATTTTCTGCGTGGCCTTGGGCAAGTCACTTGGTCTGTACTTGTGTGGCGGGAGCGCCTGTCGAGTCCCGGGACCCCTGGCGCTAGGCCCTGCACAAACTCCGAACGCAGAGACCGGCCTTCCTCCATCTCCCATCTTCGAGGGCCTGAACCACAAGGGTAGCTGCGCTCCCGTCTCCGTTCCCGGGCTGTGTCTCCGAACCCTGCCATACCCCTGCCACTGGAGGGCTGGCTGGGCTGACCGCGTTCAGCTCTGACCCGCCGGGCAGGATTTCAAAGGCTGCTCCAGCCCTGGGTGGTTAATGGCGCTCACTGCAGTCTGATCTGTTAGTGCCTAGATTCCCGGTGCCATCTTGCATGCTCGTACCTGCACAGGGAGGAAATTAACCAAGGGAGCAAACTCCCAACGGAAGTGGCAAATTCTCCATCCCCGGATGGTGTCCAACCCGGGAGATGTGATCGCCCAGCACAAGCGACTGGGCTCCATACAGGGGGAGCTGGGGGGAAGTATTGTAATGGCCTATAACGTACCAGAGGTCACTCGATGGTTCTTTTTGGCCATAACCTGGTTTCGATTGTTATTGGTCAACGTCGATTTCCCCGAACACGCCCACAGGGCCAGAAATGTATTCCAGCCTCAACTGAAATGTACAGGTAGGCAAAGGAAGAAAACTGCGACTTGAGAACTTACGAGTTGAAATCCAGGGCTCTGGACTTTGTAGGCTTAGCCAACGAAGAGTAGGCGGGGGTCTGATGCGGGGATCTCCGGCTGTTTGCTTTGTGTATTTTGACCTGTCCCATTGAGACTTTGTTTTGCTGCTTTGACGTTGTCACTTTGTGAATCTCAGCAGCTACGTCATTCAGTGATTGTCGAACGAACCCAACATGATTGTGTGCAGCTGTGAAAGTTTAAATTGGAAACCGGAGGGGGGAAGGCTTGGGAATGGATGGGAAAGGGGCCTGTTGATCAGTGTGACGGGCCTGTTGATTGCATGATTTGTGGGCTGGGATCAGCTGGAAGAGGGGAGCGGGAAGGTCAAGGTTGGCCAGAGGGGTGGCGTGGACGGCTGATCGGCCAGTCCTGGCAGAGGAGGAGAAGGCTCTGGCGGGGGAAGACGGAGAGTCTGCTCCCAACGCAGGGTTTGGGGTGTAGTCAGCACTTCTGGGGGCGCTGCCCGACCCCTCTGGCCAAGCGCACATGGGCTGAGGGACTTGTCTCCTGGTCTTTGGAGGGGCTGGCCGGAGGCTCGGCCATCCACCAGGCTCTCTGTCAGGCAGGAACCGCTCCGTGTCGTCCCCAGGCCTCGCTCTGATGCTCCCGTGTTGGGTCAAGCTAATAAAGCATTTCCTGCTGCTTCCGTCGGTTTCCCCTGGGCAGAGGATGAGCAGCTGACCCTGGCCCATTAGAGTCCAACCTCCTGCCTAGCCCAGGCCGGAGAGTTCACCCCGGTCCCCCGTACTGAGCCCCACACCTTGGGCTGGCCTGGAACATCTCCCAGAAAGGCTCCGGCCTGCCTCACAAGAGATGGAGACTCCCCCTCTGCCCTGGGCAGCTCGGGCCAACGGCGAGTCACCTATGCCCTGGGGAAAAACCGGTGCCTCGTTTCCCCTTGGGACGGGTCTGGGTTTACCTCCAGCCGCTGGGCCCTGGCCTGCCTTTCGCCGCTGGATCAAAGAGCCCTGTGTGCCCGGGATTCTCTCCCCGGAGCGGCATGTTCCCGCTGGAACGTGTGCCCATGTGTTCCCAGCAGCTCAGCCCAGCTGTGGTGTCGTTTGGG